GTCATTTTTTAGAATGTATTTTATTTAGCCATGTTGTTTTCTTTTTGAAATTCTTTAACTGGTTTTCTATGTATTTAGTATTTTCTATGTATATAATCATAATTGAAATTTGCCTATATATTTATTTTCATGCTTTGGTGTTTTGTTTGGGTATCAGAGTTATGGTGGTTCTTTATCATGCACTGACAACCTCTTGCTAATATCTGAAATTTACCTGTTTGCTTAAGGTTTTTCAAAACTGATACAACAAAGCTTTATGGCTCTGGAGTCTTATTTTCTTTTTAAAAATGCTTTTAGCTTCCTGAAACATTTAAATTTCAAATTTAAATAGACTTATATTTTATATATTAAGTAAAAGTATATCTTCATTATAGAAATCTCAAAAAATATAAAACCTGTGGTTGTCCCACTTACTCCTCAACTCTAACTCCCTTCCCAAGAGGTAATCTTTGTCAATACTTTGGTTAAAACCCTCTGTTACACTTAAAGGATTAAAGAATTAAAATCCCTCTCTATTGTTTACAAATATACAAATTACATAGTACTCTATATTTATTCACAATTATGTGGGTACAATCTTACCCATGCATTTATACACAATATAATGCAATATATTGTAGTAAATAATATAGTCTGTATTGCTATAAATTTTATGTGTGTGTGTGTGTGTGTGTATAAAAAGGTGGCACTTAAACACATATACTTCTACAGTGAGATTATACCATATGCATTGTTTAAATTGTGAAATATGTGTGTGTGTGTATGTGTCTGTGTGTGTGTGTGTGTGTGTGTGTGTGTGTGTATATATATATATATATATATATATATATATATATATATATATATATATATATATAAACATAAAACTTACCACTTTAACCATTTTTAAATCTATAGTCCAGTGGCATGAAGCCTGTTCATACTGTTAGGGCATGAAGCCTGTTCACATCACCACCTTTCATCTTCAGAACTTTTTCATCTTGAAAACCAGAATCTCTGCACCCACTAAACAATAATACCTTGTTACTCATTCCCCTGAATGGTAACCACCATTCTACTTTGTATCTGTGAACTTGACTCTTCTAGGTACCTCATATGAGTGGAATCATACGGTGTTTATCATTTTGTGACTGGCCTATTTCACTTAGCCCAATGTCTTCATGGTTAATCCATGTTGTAACAAGGCTGAAAAACAGTCAGTTGTAGGTACTTACTGTGATATTTATCCATTCATCTGTGGATAGATACTCATTGCTTCCACCTGTTGACTCTTGCGGGTAATGCTGCTATGAGCACAAGTATACAAATATCTGAGTTGCTGCTTTCCATTCTTTGGGGTATATGCCCAGAAATGGAATTCCTGGGTCATTTGGCAGTTCCATGTTTAACATTTTGAGGAGTTGGTATACTTTCTTGCAAAGGGCTTACACCGGTTTTACATTCCTACCAGCAGTTCATGAGGGTTCCAGTTTCTTCATAACCTCACTTTTTATTTTTAAATAAAAAGGCTATTCTCATAGGTGTGAAATGGTATCTCATTGTGTTTATGATTTGCATTAACCTAGTAATTCACTAATTATCTCTAGGCATTAGTATTTGAATAATTTTATTTGTCTTTTTGTTTATTGAACATTTTTATATGCTTATTAGTCATTTGTATATCTGCCAGAGAAATGTCTTTCCAAGTCTTTTGCCCATTTTTAAAAAATGTTGTTTGTTTGTGGTTGAGTTGTAAGAGTTCTTTAGATATTAACCCTTTGTCCAATATGTGATTTGCAGATGTTTTCTCCCTTTCTGTGGGATGCCTTTTTACTCTGTTGATAGTGGCCTAAAAGTTTAATTTTGATGTAGTCCAATCCTTTTTTTCCTTTGCTTCCTGTGTTTCTGGTGGCATATTCAAGAAATAATTGCCCATGTACATTGTTTTTAACTTTCCCTTTAAACTCATCAATATGTATGTATGGGGGCTGAGGTTGTGGCTCAGTGGTAGAGTGCTTGCCTGGCATGTGTGAGGCCCTGGGTTCAATCCTCAGCACTGCATATAAATAAATAAATAAACAAATAAATAAATAAAGTTCCATTGACAACTAAAAAAATTTTTTAAAAAAATTTTAAAATAGTGTGTGTGCATATACATATACATATAAAATCTTTTCAAAGTAGCTCATATAGCTTCATGTCATTACATATCAGTTTCAGAGTATTCTATAGCATAGCTCTTGATTATTTAGCCTTTCTCATATTGATGAGCATTTAAATAAAGCTCATTCTTGCCTTTATGTGCATATATATTACAAACAAACAAATGAAAAATTTGTGAGGGATATTCATCAAAGTGATAGAAGTGATGGTCTCAGGGCATTTGGATTAGAAAGAGTTGTACTTTGTCTATTTGTTTATCTATATTGTTTGATTTCTCAATAATAAACAGGTATTTTATTTAATAAAAACTTATAAACTAATAAATAAATATATTGACTTTTAAAATTTATTCTAATTTGTTATATAGGACAGCAGAATGCATTTCAATTCATATTACACATATAGAGGACAATTTTTCATGTCTCTGGTTGTACACAAAGAAGAATCACATCATTCATGTCTTCATACATTTACTTAGGGAAATAACATCCATCTCATTTCACTCTCTTCTCTACCCTCATGCCCTTTCCCTTCCACTCCCTCCCCTTTACCCTATCTAAAGTTCCTCCATTCCTCCCATGCTCCCCCCCCCAATCATTCCCATTATGGATCAGCATCCTCATATCAGAGAAAACATTCAGCATTAGTTTTTTTGGGATTGGCTTACTTCACTTAGCATAATATTTTCCAACTCCATCCACTTACCTGCAAATGCCATGATTTTATTCTCTTTTATTGCTGAGTAATATTCCATTGTGTATATATACCACATTTTCTTTATCCATTCATCTACTGAAATGCATCTATGTTGGTTCCACAATTCAGCTATTGTGAATTGTGCTGCGGTAAATATTGATGTGGCTGTGTCCCTGTAGTATGCTGTTTTTAAGACCTTTGGGTATAAACTGATGAGTGGAATAGCTGGGTTAAATGGTGGTTCCATTCCCAGTTTTCCAAGAAATCTCCATACTGCTTTCCATATTGGCTGTACCAATTTGCAAATTTGCAGCCTCACCAACAATGTATAAATGTGAGTTTCTCCCCACATATACTTGTTGTTTGTATTCTTTTTTCTTTTTTTAATCTCTCTCTCTCTCTCTCTCTCTCTCTCACTCTCTCTCTCGTTGTTGTTTGTATTCTTAATAGCTACCATTCTGACTGGAGTGAGATCAAATTTTAGAGTAGTTTTGATTTGCATTTCTCTAATTGCTAAAGATGTTGAACATTTGTTCCTATATTTGTTGATTAATTGTATATCATCTTCTAAGAAGTGTCTGTTCAGTGTCTTGGCCCATTTATTGATTAGGTTATTCATTTTTTTGGTGTTAAGCTTTTTGAATTCTTTAGATATCCTAGAGATTAGTGCTCTGTCTGATGTGTAAGGGGAAAAATTTTGCTCCCAAGATGTAGGCTCTTTATTCATCTCACAGATTGTTTCTTTTGCCGAGAAGAAGCTTTTTAGTTTGAATCCATCCCATTTATTGATTCCTTTTAAAAAAATTTTTTTTAGTTGTAGTTGGACACAATATCTTCATTTATTTGTATGTGGTGCTGAGGATCGAACCCAGTACCTCACACGTGTGAGGCAGGCGCTCTACCCGTGAGCTAAAGCCCCAGCCCTGATTCTTGATTTTATTTCTTGCACTATAGGAGTCTTATTAAGGAAGTCAGGGCCTAATCCAACATAATGGAGATTTGGGCCTCCTTTTTCTTCTGTTAGGCACAGGGTCTCTGGTTTAATTTCTAGGTACTTGATCCACTTTGAGTTGAGTTTTGTTTATGGTGAGAGGTAGGGTTTTGTTTAATCTTTTTTTAGTTGTAGATGGACACAATACCTTCATTTTATTTATTTATTTTCATGTGGTGCTGAGAATCGAACCCAGTGCCTCATATTTGCAAGGCAAGTGCTCTGCCACTGAGCCACAATCCCAGCCTGAGATAAGGGGTTTTTGTTCATCAGTTTCACACTGAAGAGTTTATTTAAAAAAATCATTTTCCGTAAGTTAAGGATAAAAGAGTATCTACTGAAATCAATTCATATCAATGATAAGGTTCTAGTATTGATAGTATTACCAATCAGTGTGGAATTATTTTGCCCATTTGGGACAGAAATTATAAATACAAAGTATATCTCTTTTTGCTGTTACCAGCTATCAAGTTTACCAGTTAATTGGAGGGTTCTTTTGCTCAATTCAAGGTAAAAATCATGGAGAGACAAGAACCATCTGAAAGCAGCTTTGTTGCATTTTTGTGCTCAAGCACCAGGAAGACTATGCAGGGCCAGGGGCCTGGACTGGCCATGTCAGGATGCAAAGAGCAAAGCTTATGCAGACAAAAAGGGTGGACTCATGCTGCACTAGCTGCTTGCACAGGATCTTGGTATTTCTGCACATATCAGATCTTTGCTTTGGCACTAGAGTTTGCACTTGACAGGGAATCTGCTCACATGAGTTGTGCCTCTGTACTCTAACATCAAAAGATGACAAAGGCATGCATTATCACCAAGTCCCAAGGGGCATATATGAGTCAGGATTAGCCTATTGACTGTGCAGAGGTTGTGGGAAAGTTTGGGGGCAAAGTCACCACCAGCTCCTGAACCTGGACATTGGTGGAAACAATTCTTAAAAAGAAGCTTGCATTAGGCTGGATCTTGGTGGGATAATTAGTATCCTCCCTGCTCTGTCTCAGTTATAGACTAGTGGGATAAAATTTCACGTATGAACATAGATTATTAGATGGGCATAGAAAAATTAAATTATCAGAATATGTAATAGCAAACATGCACCCAGTTTTGATTGATTTCCTTGTTTTCATGGTTCTTTTTAGTTTTACTATATTTGTCTTAAATTGTTTTCTAGGAGAAGAAAACGTGATTGCTGTTCCTTTGGGAAGCAGAAGTGTGAGAATTACAGTCAAAGGACCTGCTCATCTCTGTAAGTAAAATTTAATCTAAATATTTTTTAAAATTCCCTGAGAGTCTATTTAGCAAAACACAAACATAAACAAAAACACAGAATATTCATGGTAGGTAGGGATTTTTTTTTTTTCTATTTTGAAATAGTCCGTATCACTAGGGAAATGATCTATGCTAATTTTCTGTTCTTATACCCAGTGAAAAAAATAGCAGTTTGGGATTAATACTCCCATGGGAGAGGAAATTAAATTATAGGTGAAATGAACTATTCTTACATGGAGAATAAATATGAATTTAGGAGTCTTCTGGAGATGTCAACAGTTTGGGACACAAAGTTAAAACAAAACAAAGTTTAAAATTCAGAATCTCATCAATGACTTTGGCTGCCCAGGAAGGAGAGACTTTTCTACCAGTGCATGGCAACTTCTGGACAAGTGGACTCTGAAAGTGGACACAGGCTTCCCAGAATATGGGGAGTTTCATCAGTGGAGGGCTGCAAGGATATTGTTTCTATGCGAAGGTCAGATGGCATTTCCTCTGTCTCAGTTTTTTTCTGATCTCTCAAAACTTGAAGGAAGTGGAAATGCCAGAGGTTATTTCCTGCTTTCCAAGGTATCCTTGTAGCCTCAAGCAGGATTTCTTAATTATATTCAAAAGAAGATAGGTCTCTACTAGACTGGCCTCTGGCCTTGCAGCATCTTATTGGGTCTAGTGTTTGCCCATAGAAAGTACAAAATATATACCATTATAACTACTATCAAGCCACAAAGTCACACAATCAAGATCCACAGAACCCAAGTACGATATATCTGCCCTTTTATCCCCTGGGTCACTTTCTTAAGTTTTTAAATCATAAGATTTTCTTAGAGCCAGAAGCATCAAACATTTTTGGTAGTGTGACATGCATGCATGTGTAGAGGATCCAGAACTACTATTTCAGGCCCAAAAGTCCTCTGAGAAAAGTGTATAATAAAATGTTTAAATAATTAAAAATGTTTGGGGTCACTATCGGACTACAATCTTAAATAAAAAATTAATTATTTAGTACATTTGCTCTAAATAAAAGAAGAAAGAGACTATCTTGGTGACAGTGAAAGTGAAAAATTATTTAAAAGAGCTTGTTTACCCTTAACTTTATGTGAATGATTTTTTAAACAAAATCATTAAACTGTTTATAATCATGTCATGGTCACTTCATTCAAGGCTTTCTCTGGAATGAAACATCAAAATGTTTTTTAAATTTCCTTTTCTAAAAATTTATTTATTTATTCGAATTTGTTATATCTGACAGCAGAATGCACTTCAATTCATAGTACACATGTAGAGCACAATTTTTCATGTTTCCGGCTTTACACAAAAATGGTTTGAAAACACACAGCTCTTAATGGGAATAACTTCTTCCTTATAAATGCAAACTTGATTTTTGGAAACAGGTAAAAATCATTTAGATTCATTTAGATTCAAATTTTTGATTAAGAACATTGTGAAATATCATTTGGATTCAAAAGTATAAAGGGCTGAAAATTTATTATTTATAGTATCTATCAAGTAGTAACAACTCAAATGTTCATCAACTGTTGAATGGATAAATGTGTAATATAATTTGGCTTAAAAAGGGATGAAATGCTGATATATAGTACAATACTAATAATTCTTGAAAACATTAGCCTTAAGTGCCACTGCATTTTGTATTTATTTATTTGGTACTGGGGATGGACCCAGGGTCCCTTTACCATTGAGCTACATCCCCAGTCCTTTTTATTTTTTACTTTGAAACAGGACTTCGATAAATTGCCCAGGCTAGTCTTGAACTTGTGATCTTCTTGCCTCAGCCTCAGAGTTGTCAACTCAGAGGGATTACAGGCGTGGACCACCATGCATGGTCATTATGCTTAAGAGAAAGAACCTAGTTACAAAAAGTGACATATCATAGATTTCATTTATCTGAAATATCTAGAATGGACAAATATCAGAAAAGAAAAGTACAGGGATGATGGTCTAGTTAAGTATGGGGTTTCTTTTGGGGGATAACAAAAATGTTATAAAATTAGACCACAATGATGTCTTCACTGTGATTATGCTGTGTGTAAATGTATAATTTATACATTCTAAATGGGTGAATTTGGGGATGAGGCTGTAACTCAGTAGTACAGCACTTTCCTAGCCTGTGTGAGACCCTGAGTTCAATACTCAGCACTGCATAAATAAGTAACTGAGTTTCATGGCATGTGTACTATATATCAAAAAATGTTTTAAAAAAACATTCTAAAGTGCAGTGACTAGACCTAATATTTTTATGATTCTAAAGGCAACCCCAAAAAATTCAGCTTCAAATTCGTTTTTTAAGTTGTAAAAACAGAGTAAGCAAATAGTAAACAGAATAAATTAAGGTGAATACTTTGAAGCAAAAATTCATTTGCATAAATATGTACTGGCATATTAAATATAACTTTATACTCTATACTCGGGATGGGCACTCTTCCAAGAACAGAGTTCAGCAATGTTCCCATTTCTTCAAAGTGACAGATCTGTTGCTTGGAATATTCCCCCTCCTGAACAATCTCTCAATTGGCCCTAGAAGTGTTTCTGAAAGTTATGCTTCTCTACTGGCTTCATTTACAAAGGATTTAGTTTAGATTTCTGAACATTTATATACAGAATGGGTTTTATTTTCTTGATTTATGCAACCATTTTTTGCATTTTTCCTTGTAATAAAGATGTATTTCTGAAATCAAGCTTATTTTGCTGTAATAAATCATTCTTTCAAGAGCTGTATTAACTACAATCCTTCAGAAGACTGCAGGAATTTCAGTCTCTTTGTTGTGAAATGGAATTTAATTACAGAACATCCGACTTCCATTCTGCTGAAAGGTGTTCAGATCCTGAATTTCTAGTGCTGTTCTAAGCATGGCCACATTGTTATAGGGAGCACTTAGTCCCAAATTTTCCAGTAATGCATCCCTTAAAAAATGGAAGCAATAATAGGATCCCTGCAAAATAAATGTTATGGTAGCACAGCTTTAGCACTAATGTGTCTGTAGCTTGAGAAGCCAAGATGTCATGAAATGAAAACCTCAATTATCTATTGGAGGAGTATTTTTCCCTCCAGTTCCTGTTTAATGTATAGATAGAGATGTAAAAATACAAATATGGACACTATATGTAATGGCCAAAGGACAGTGATGCTGGATAAAATGAACATACACTATAACAATACTGTTCTACTGTAGGCCTGAACTTGATATAGCTACATTAGCTAAGTCCGCAGTATGTGTTTACCTAATAGTAGTTTTGTGGCCTTTAGAATTTAAACAGACCTCTTGGTGTTGGTTGCCTGTCTCTGCCTCTGTTGTAAGAAGCTTGGACTGATTCTTCTCAATGAGGCCCTTCAACTGGAAACCATTAGAAGCATTCATTCACTTTTTTTGTCATTTCTTTTAAAAAGAACAAGAATGAATTCAAATTATTTAAAGGTATCATTATAGACATGTACTGTGAAGATTTGTGGGTAGAAGACCTTGATTTCTTGTTGTTTTTCACTTGTTTGAGGCTACTTTTCATACTTTCCTCAACACCTCTGCCCTCCACCCACCATTAAGTCTTCACAGGAGGAATCAGGTGGGCAGTGGGGATCAGGAAAGAAGGACGGTAATCTCTTCCCTAACAGTGGAGCAGGAAGACAGTGAAAGTGGGCTCCCTGGGTCTCCCAAGCCTAACCACCTGGCTGCAGTAGCCACCAATGGTCAGCACAAGCCCTGAGAACTGAAGGTTCACTTGTACAGCTCTCATCAGCCATGAGTCACACGCTGTCAAAACACACAGCTGCAGTAAATATGCATAAATAACAGAAATGAATAAAAACTAAGTAAAGGCATCTGTAAGTCAACACAGCATTTGAATTATTCATTGAAAAACTACAAATCCCTTTTCTCTTATTTATTTTAAGAGGCACAGTCACTAGGAGGGACAAATTTGTCACCAATGAAAATGATGAGTTTTAAAGAACTGTGTTGGGCTCCATCTCACTGTGGATTGGATACACGGGCTCTGTCAATCTAAATGATCAGATTGTTTATGCATATAAACTCCACCTTCCTCAGATCACTCCACCAGTCATTAATTATCTACTTTTGATTCAGCTACTCATTTACACTAGTGAGGTCAAATCGTTTGTTTTCTGCCTCCTAGAGATGCAACCAGTGTTGGCACCCTGGAGATCTGGAAGCCCTTTGAAATAGATATTCTACAACTAACATGCATTTCATTACAGAGTGGCTTGAGTGATTTTTTTTTTGATTGATTACAATTTTATTTGTATTTTTTAGATCATTATAGATGAGCATGCAGTTGCAAGAAATATATGGAGTGCTCAGTACACCATTTAGTTGGCTTGAGTGATTTATACAAACTTGGACATTGGCTTTGCTCCTTGTATGTTCATCTTTGTCAATGAATATTTTAAACATGGTTGAAATAATGAAATAGACTCCACCTTTAAAACAAAACACCAAAACTGAACTAAGAGAAATGTTGGCATTTGGTTTAGGGGATGGATGTCATAGCACCTGGCCTTCCTCCCTTCAGGATCACCTTCCTTACACCCCTGCTCCAAGCTGCATCATGATGAAACTTGCAAATCTGCGCTCCAAAAAGTGAGCCCAGTGGTAAAGCAATTACTCCCCCAGCACAGCCGCGGAATCCATTGCATAGTACTTGAATTTAATCAAGTCATTTCAAGCTAAATCTCAGTCTAGAAACTTGGTGTCTCACATGCCTTCGATGAGATGGATGGTGTCCAGTCTCACTTAGTGTTTCTGTATTGCCTCAATACTCATCGTTTTCTCTCCTTTACTTTAGAGACTTAACTCATCCAGTGTGGGGCTTACTATCTCTAGCTCTCCATCTCGTATTTACTGACAACTCACTTTGTAACACTCAGTTTTATATCTTCATTGGAACTAGGAAATGAATTTAATCTCACACTTTCCAAAAATCTACTGTGGTCATGGAGACTGGGGCCAAAGTGGTTGGGGTTTTGTGTGCCTGAAAGGAGCCAGGGTTATTCTTCGACCGCTAATGACTCTTCCAGATCAAGGAGCTCCTGTCCAGCCTTTGAATTTTCCCAGAAAAGTTCCCAGCCTGCCTGTCAGGGATAATCAGGGATGTCTCCTAATGCCTGGGATGTAGTCTGTCCAGCACACTTGGATTCCTGCAGCTGCTCTTTGGCAGAGAGAAAAATCTAGCAAATGAAAACAGCCAAAGCCCAGCAGCATGTGGATCGAAGCTCCCTGATACTGGGCAATTCTGTCGTGTTTTATCAGCTTTCCATTTTTAAGGTTGAAGCTGAATGGAGTTTTGATTCTGTTGTGTCCTTTGTTCAAGATGGCTAGAGACAACTGTAATACCACTGCAGCGAGTGGAGGTTTCAGAGGAGAGTTGGACACGGGAGATCAGGCACTCTGATTCCTTGTTTTAGCAATGAAAACCTACTACAGGGAGTCAGAGAAAGAGCTGAGACCAGAACCCAGCTGTGTCTGTCTTTATTGCTTCTCCCAAACTTGGGACCACGTCTGCTGGGTATGGTAACACTTAACAAGACAGAAGAAAAGGAGGAAAGGAGAGGGAAAAACAGAAAATATTTAAATAAAATGGAAATACTATTTTGTTCAAACTGCAGGCAAACATTTTCCTGTAGTTCTTAAAAACACTTCTGATCTTATAAAAGCAAATTAGAATAAGAGAGTAACATGCTCCAGGGAGATCTTTGTGGCAGTGGGATGGTTATGTGTTTTGATTGTGGTCCTGTGCCACTCTCAGCCCTTAGAACACAGGTCCTAAGCCAGCCAGGGTGACTTAGCAAGACCCCACCTCAGACATGGCATCAAACTGTATGCATACATTGTACCTACGTCAATTTCCTGGTTTTGCTATTGTTCTATAGTTTCATAAAGTGTAGCCACTGAGGACCTGTCTATATTACTTTTGTAATTTCCTGTGAATCTGATTATTTCAAAATAAAAAGTTTTTTCTTTTGAAAAAGGCAAATTTGAGATTCACTGTGCTTTTTTTCTAAATATAAAACTATGTTTAACATCTGAATAGGTAATAAGTGAGTAAACATGACTTTACTCGCCCTATATTTTGAGCTACCTCATGAAAAAAATATGAAAAAAGAAAAGTGTTCTCTTTTGTAGAAGATATGTCTCCAAAGAATTGAGTAGAATTGCTACCCCTGTTAGTGCCTTTTTAAGGACGACCAAAAATTTGACTTATCTATTCCATGAATGTGGATCTTTTGATATCGTGTTGATGTCACATGCCGATATTACACTTGGTGAAATGTCATTTGGACTGACTTGCTTTTAGGAGATTTCTCTTACTTAAATTTTATTTTTTAAATTTTTAGTTATTGAATCCAAAACGCTTCAAGGAAGCAAAGGAGAACACAGCTTTAACAGCCCTGGAGTTTTTGTTGTAGAAAACACAACAGTTGAATTTCAGAAGGGCTCAGAGAGGCAAACCTTTAAGATTCCAGGACCTCTGATGGCAGATTTCATCTTCAAGGTAAGACAATCTGCTTCAAAATCTTCATGCACATGAATCCCAGAACTTCTTGATTTTTAAAAACAGCAAGTTTGGAGCTGGTGGTGCCCACCTGTTATTCGAGGTATTCAAGTAGACTGAGGCAGGAGGATCTCATGTTCGAGGCCAGTCTGGGCAACTTTTAAATAAATATCAACAAAAAACAAAAAGGGCTGGAGACATAGGTCAGTGGTAGAGCACTTACCTTTGCATGTTGCAGACCATGGTTTTAATCCCCAGTACTGGGAAAAAAAAACAAGCTTCCAAAACAATAATAATTAAACAACAACAACAACAAAAGCCAAACAGTTTGTTCAGCAGGTGATCATATGGAGCACATATCATCAATATTTATGTCTTAACAATCCATTCCTAAATTTTTTTCATCCTCAAGTATCTGCTCTCAAGTATTTGTTCCTTAGCCCTGAGAGCTCAGAAACTACAGACTTCACTTCTATAAAGGAAAGAATTGATATTGTAAACTCCAGTGGCCGAGCTCAGTTTTAAATCTCAGGATGGTTTTTGGTGGAAATAGATGAGGGTTGGACTCACCATCCCTGCAGAAAGGAGCAGAGGACAGAGGGAAAAGAGTCTCATCCCAGTCCTGTTCCCTTTCACTCTCACCCCTGAGAGTTTGCAGTCTCTCAGTGGCTGACTCTGATCAGGGCTTCCTCCCTCAGAGTTTGTTTTCTGATGAGTGCCTGTCATAAGGTGCCCTCAGAAGAGCTCTTCTTTCCTGGAACCATCAGCCTGTGCCCCTCTCTGGGAAAGCTGGGACATCTTCCTTCAGAGGACAGGAAGTGTAGTGACCAACCTCTTTCCAAGAACACACAGTAGGACACACTTCTGATGAATCTGAAAATGCCAAAGACATGAAAAGAAAATGGGTAGTTTTGCCCTCTTCCTTTTCAGAAAACTCATTCCAAAATGTAAATGGGAGAGAGAAAATTGTTCTAATTGCCAGTGAAACCTTTATGTATGAAAAAAGCCCATTGCCTGCAAAAGCACTGTCTGCATTCCACTTACTAATTTGTCAAAGAATGTTCCATGGAGGCATCAGTTCTATTGACAGAGCACGAGATGGGGAAGTAAATGAAAGCTTCCAACTGATCCAGATTTCTGAGATCCAAGCCAGCCCGCAGTGTGACCTGCCAAGTGTCAGCCTGCACAGTGGTGCTATTTTTGTTTTTTGTTGGTTTTGAAACTTTGGATTTTAAATGTTCAACACTGAAAAGTCAAGAGATTCTTATATAAAAATATCAGGATTTTTTTTCCTGTTTCTCTTTAAAAATGGGAAGACCTTGCATTTTATCATAGCAATTGTTGGCTGCAGCTAAGAAGCAGCTGCCTTCTAGTTGGGCCCTGGGTCTTGTTTGCCATGGTCCGCACCATTCCCTGTTTTGCCTCCTAACATTACAGTGTTGGTGGCCGTTGATCCTGCTTCCAGCATTTATATATCTGCCTGGCTTCCATAGACACTTACGTTTGTCACTTCTGTGTCAGATTCACAAAGCACCAACCCAATATTTTTCATTGACAGTCATATTGTAAAAGATTTGGGAGGGAGAGCCATAATTATATCCTCTTATTCTCTCTGGTTCATTCCTATAGCATAAATTCTATACTTGTTTTGCTTTTCTTAGATTTTTCTGTTTTATTCTTAAGTAGTAAACACTTTTTTTTTCCCTCTTTCTCTTTTAATTGCTACTCAGAGTCTCTGTATTCTTAAGTCAACATGAAGGTTTCCGATTGAGTAGGAGACATTTATATGATGATAGGAGGGGGGAAATGCCCAAAAGATGAGTATTTCAAGATACTGGTTATAGCATTGGCTTAGATAGGGCTTGATGGTGTCTTTTATTGATGCCATGTATGAAAACATGATACACATCAACTATGTATTTCTACAGGTTGTGAACCCATGTACATGTGTATGGTGTGCATACCTCTTTTAATATTTGGAAGGACATACCCTATAAGAAAATAATAGCAATTATTTCAGAGGGGATAAATGCTTTGGGGAAATGGTCTTAGTGTCACTTATAATATCTAACTCTTAAAATAATTTCGATTATTATACACCCTCTTACGCAAATTACATATTCATCTCTTAATAGTATACATTTTAACAATGTGCTATCCATATTGTCTGAATTACTACTCGATCCTCTATATTCCTGTCTCTGATTCCTGGCTTTTTCAGACTTAATAAACAGCTCTGGACTTAAGCTTCAACTTCTGGAAAGTGTTTGAGCTCTCCAGACTGAAAAAGTGGCTTTAAAAATATATTTACCAAAGAGGGCGTCACACACAACTGACTCATATATAAATAGAACCCCCTTTTCGTGCCCACAGGCATTTTCTTTCATGGACTTGTTGGGCTGGGTGGGAGGGAATTTGGCAAAATTGGAGACACTTGGGATGAAGTAAGACTGACTGTGATGTTGTTTTTCCCTGACCTGGGAGTTGTCCACATGATGTGTGTTTCTAGGAAATATCCTTTTCCATCAGTTGCTTTTTGTTTTTTTGAACACATTTTAGTGTTGTCCAGCCTGTGTTGTTGCTAAGACAAGGAAATCTTTGCTTCCATTCACATTCATCTCTTCCTAGCTCATCCCACAATTAAGGGATGGCTGTCTTTAATTGACACCCATGTCCCCATATACACTATGGGGAGGGTAATAGTGTATATGGGGACATGGATGACAGTTGCCCTATGTTCTATGTCAGTAGACCAAGAGCTCTTGATCTATAAAAGGGTAACAAGCTGAGAGGATGAGGCAGCCAAGACCAGCCCTTGACAACTCCATGTTGTTTAAGCCTAGCTGGTGCACTTAGCTGTGTAGACATATACCTTCATACAATTTATGTGGTAGGCTTATTTCATGGACTTTTAAGTAAGTGTGCTATTGTAAATGACTACATTCTCACATGTAAACTATGTAGATATCAGTGGACCAATTGTCTTGTAGTTATGTTGCTCAGATTCAAAATTTTAGCAGCTTACTGAATCAATAAAAAAAATGAATTTCTTGTTTCTGTTCTTTAAGAAGCTATATTTTCATGTTTGGACCTTCCTCGAATATTGTCTCTTTTATTCTTTCAAATGGATTTCTCACTATATAGTCTCGCCTTCCTGAGTGACCTGTTTCTCATGGATGGCTTGTCACACACTTTGTTTGCTCCTGTAATATGTGCATGTTGCCACCAGGTAGCAGTAGAGAGTCTGGACCAAGTTGATGTTCTGTGACAACTATGAGAGACACTATGTTCAGTGAGAATTTACTGAACATTTTACATCTGTGAGTAGATGTTGGTAAATATCAATTTTAAGCATATGTCTCTGATAATAGCTAATAAAATTAAGCTAAATGGCTTTCATGAAGACATCTCTTTCTGTGGTTAATTTTTAACTCTAGCTAGTAGCTTTTCTCCTCTTAAAACATTTATGATCTTGTAGGGCTGGAGGATCTGTCTTCTTTGTGGCCTGAAATCTTCCTTTTTCTGTCTTCATAGGGAGTAATTTTTCTTCCATTCATATACTTTGTGTTTTCTGATTGCTTTTCCACTAGTTTTCAGCTATTCAAGCTCCGTCTCCAGTTTCCTCCAACCTCAGCTCCGATATCTTTTATGCTTTTCCAGAAGTTATGGTGGCATACCTAACTTACCCAAGGACCGGAGGAATCTGAAACTACCTGTTTTACTTCCTCTCAATACAGTCCCAGGTGTTTTGAAACATGGCAAGACAGTTTTAGAGTCAGTGCCTGCATGAGATTCCTGAGGCTGCTATACCAGAATACCACAAACGGAATTGCCTAAATACCGCAATTTATCATTTCACAATTCTGAAGTCTAAATGTCCAACATAAAGGTGTTGGCAGGATTGATTCCTTCTGAGGCCTACAAGGGAGGATGTGTCTGATGCCTCTTTCCTCAGTTCTTGGAACTCAGCATTCTCCCTCTGCCTTCACACCACTGCTCTGCGTGTGTCCACTTCTGTGTCCAAACCCACCCTTTTATAAGGACACAGTCATATTGGATTGAGGCCCACTCTAATGTCCTTAACTTAACTTGATCACATCTGTAAAGACCCTTTTTCACATCATATTCTGAGATACAGTGGGCTAAGACTTCATTCTTTTTGGGGGGACACAATTCAACCAGTAACAGAGCCAACAGAAAGGGAAATTTAGGTATTTCATAGTCATCTCAATCATCCATCCCATCCTGTTTCCCAGTAATCACTAAGGTAGAATGTGGTCTGTTGAGGGAAATTCCTTGGTTAAAGCATTTCAATAACTATTCTACTAGCTACCAGAATTCGTGCACGCGCACACACATACACACATACACACACACACACACATGTATGTGTGTATTTTCAGTTTTATGTTAAAATCTCTTATGTGTGTGTGTCTGTGTGTGTGTGTGTATAAAAACATACACATATATATTCAGTGGCAGTAAATGGGTCTTTTTCCGGGGAAGAAAGGTAAGACCAATGATATTTGAAGATACTTTATTTTGGGGGCGGGTACCAGAGATTGAACTCAGGGACACTCAACCACAGAGACACATCCCTAGTCCAATTTTTTGTAATTTATTAGAGATAAGGTGTCACTGAGTTGCTTAGCACCTTGCTGTTGTTGAGGCTGGCTTTGAACTTGAGATCCTCCTGTCTCAGCCTCCCAAGCTGCTGAAATTACAGGCATGTGCCACTGTGCCCAGCTTGAAGACACTTTTAATAAACCTTTAAAGAGCTACCTGTCTTTTGAAGATGATCACGTGAAGAGCTATATTGAACGAGATTTTATTAATTGTATATATTCCAAATGTCAGTAGTTTGTATCATAAGGAACACATGGGTTGACTAATTTCTCCAGAGCCACATTATTGGAAATACTGTAATTTGTTTAATTTTGCCAAAATTTTTGATCAAATTGAATCTTTTAAATAAACATGTCTACAAAGAAATCTTGATT